GAACCTAGCACAGCTAGGTTTCAATGAACCCCGAAGCTGATCTAGGTTCAATGGAATCCAGAGCAGATCTGGGTTCAATCAAACCCCGCAACTGGGTTTGGTGTATTGATCCCAGTAGCAAGTAGAAGGAAGAAAGAGAAAGAAAGAAGGGGAAGAAGATGATTCAAGAGGTTTTCTTATTTTTTTTATTAAAAATATAAATATTTATCTAATGTGGTGTTTTTATTTGTCCATGTAACCTAAATTGCAAGACATGTCACTACCACATCATCAAAAAATATAAAGAAAATGCCATTATGGAATTATTTAACAACCACGTCATACTTAACTGATGGACGGACCAAAATTGTGCAGTTTCTAGAGTTAAGGGATCAAAAAGTGCAAAAAATAGTTAAGGGACCAACTCCATAAAGTTTAGGGACTAAAATTAACATTTAACCATATATTAGTTTTGGTTAGGGACATCTTAGAGGCATTTTAGCAACAATTCTCATTAATTAAAGACAGAAAAGTCACCAAAGGTTGGATAACTATATCATGCTCAATTATATAGGCAATATTGCTATCAAGGAATGAAAAAATATTAAGGAACAAATTGGCAAATGAAGTCAAAGTCGTAGAATTGGTACAACTAAGAGCTTTCCATTGGATTTCAAGAAAATGAGATTTTCTAAGGTTTGGTTTCAACGAATGGATTAGGAACCAAAGGCGAGTTTAAAATAACGGATGCAGTGATCATATATGTGTTGTAATTCCCTCTTCAGACATTCCTAATTTTGGTGTAAAGGGTTGGAATACCCTTTGTAATCTCAGGCAATAAAATTATCTTTTTGTTGTGAAAAAAACAAAAAAGACATCTACCCAAAAGGATATGAATTCATAAAAAAGAAACTTTAAGAATCAAAAGAATTGATGACGGATAGAGAGGATAAATTGAGATGGTATTGAGTGAAATCCAAAGAAATTTCAAAGGATTTAAAAAAAAAAAGAAGAAGAAGGAAAGAAAGAGTTAGAAATTGTGTTTATTCACCTTTGCAAAGATTGTGTTTGGTGTTTGCATCTGAGTAAAGAGAATCCCATATAAGATATGCGGAAACCCATGAACCTAAGCTAATCTTTTGGGTTCAAGATGATGTTTTTATATGTTAAACCCTTGTTTAAGTGTTGTTGCTGACCCAGTTGTTCAACCTCACAATGTCAATAGTGCCTTGAGCAATTGGACTCCCAATAAATTAGGTATATCTTTCAAAGATACAAGAAAACAGATAATCCATGCAAAAGTGTATAAGATTGTGTTGAGTGTTTGCATATGAGTAGAAAGACTTCCATATTAGATATGTGGAGATCCATGAACCTAAGCTAGTCTTTAGAGTTTAAATGATATCTTCACATGTTATGCCCTTACTTGAATGTTGCTAATCTAATTCCTCAACCTAATAACATGAGTAGTGTTGAGTAGTGCCTTGGACAACTAGACTCTTAATAGATTGTGTATATCTTTTCAAAAATACAAGAAAACTATAGTCCATGTAAATTACAACTTTTGATTAAAAAAACCCATACCTTTAAAATTGTTACACGCTTTTTTATTTGTTTGGCATATTTATGCCCTTTAGGAAAAAACTTCAAAGAAATTAGAAATCAAAATGAAAGGTCTCATGTTAGAAAGGTTAAGGACAAAAATGGAAATTTACTCCTTTTTCCTTCTTTTTTTTTTTTCCTTTTTACCAAATCTAGTTGTATTAGGTAGGAAAATTGGGAATTTTAGTCAAAATATAGAATTCCATATAATATAGGTAGAGAAAAGAAATTAGTCTCTAAAACAGTATTTCAAGTGGTTGAGAGCTTGAAACTCTAAATTAAAGATCTCAAATTTAAACATTGAGATGAGTGAGAGGGATTAAGGGGAGGCCAAGAAGGGCTATTTCCTATTGTATGGTGTATCATCTTATGTATCAAAAAATGAAAAAAAAGAAAAGAAAAGGAAATCTAACCATAAAGCACTATATGAAGCAGTTTGAAATTCATACCCTGAGATAGCTTAAATAATTAAGAGTTTCAAATTCTTAGTTAGAAATTTTATATTTGAACTTTGGGTTATGTGGGAAAGGATTTAGGAAAAGAAAGGACTATCTATCCCTTTTTGTATTTTTTTGGAACAACTTTTTTTTTTCTTTGATGAGCCAAAAATTTATTTCCTTGGGTACAAGGGGTACCCAACCCTTATACAATCTAGAACTTACATTGCTATTGCCTTTCCCATACAAGAAAACAGTACAAGAATATTAGGATAGCACACCCCATCAAAGATTAGTTCGTAGCTTGCCCTCTTAGTGCCATTTTGGGGTTTTCCTTCCATAGATCTTACTTCAAGTTAGGACAAAGATTTGCCTTTACCTAATAGAAAGACCTATACTTAATGAGCTCACCAACGTCCTCTTCCTTGTCTTGTTCTTTCTGAAATACTTTCTGGTTTCTCCAATTCCATATGGTCCACATGGTTGCAAAGCACACCACCTTCCAAGCTTCTTTGAGAGCCTTATTATAAACGAGCCCCATATGTTGTTTGAAATGTCTTTGAACATCAACCTCAATTGTTGAGTAAAAACCCAACTAGGATAAACAGTATGACCAAAGCTTCCAATAAATTGGGCATTTAAAAAAAATAAGCCAAGGTTTCTTCTTCATTTAAGCACAAACTGCACATGGTTTCCTCTTTATTCATGATGACTCCTTTCCTAGCTAGATTGTCTTTTGTAGGTAATCTATCATACAAGGATCTCCAAGCCAACACTGCAACTTTTAAGGCATTGATCCATTCTAGATTTGCTTAAAGTGATCTAGATCCTGCCTTAATTGAGACTGGGTGGTTTGGTTATAGGCAGATTTGGTTGAGTATCTTCCAATGCTCTCCCATTTCCATACCCAACAGTCCTCTTGTCATTGTTGCAAATGTACTTGACTAGGGATTTCTTCCAATTCCTGCAAAAGATTAGATTCCCAAATGAATAAAGTCCTGCGCCATTCCCATCCCCATTTTCCTTCACCTTCCCCCCTCTTGCCTACCTTAGTTATCGTGGCCTATTTACTAGTAGCCAAGGAATATAATCTTGGAAACTTCTCCCTCAAGGTCACACTTCCTATCCACACATCTTCCTAAAACAGTATCTCCTTGCCTTCCCCTACCCTTCTTATAAACCCATCCTTTAACCATTTAGTATTTATGTTATCTACCTTTTCCAATTTCCATAACTCTTTCCACCACACAAACCCTTTCTCATTTTGTATACACTCTTCCCATCCCCTATTCCTAATAGACCCATACAGCTCCAAGATAACTTTTCTCCATAATGCTTCTTTCTCCCTCAAAATTCTCCACTTCCCCTTTCCTAATAAGGCCTTATTGAAACTTTTAAGATTCCTAACACCTAGCACTCCCTCTGTTTTTTCGTACATATCACCTCCCATTTTATCCATGCTATCTTTCTCTCACCCTCACCTCTACCCCACAAAAAATTACATTGAAGCTTGGTGAGTATTTTAATTATTGAAGCTTGGTGAGTATTTTAATTACCTTTTTTGAGGCTTTATGTATTAAGAAGAAACACATGGATAAGCAAGATAAAACGGCATTGGCAGGACAATTCTCTGACCAAACGATAGTGTATTTCCCCTCCAACTGTTCAGCTTCCTCCTCATACAATCAATCACTAGGCACCAAGTAGTGATTTTGTTAGGATTTGTTCCAACAAGAACTCCTAAATATTTGAAAGGAATGCTCCCTATCGAATAGTTCATAGTTGATGCTAGCTCCTAAATTATATTCTTATCTACATTTAAACTACATAGCCAACTCTTATTATAGTTCACGTTGAGGCCGGAAATCAACTCAAAACACCTCATTATACATTTCATGGCCCATGCATTCTCCTCTGTTGCTTCGTTGAGTAGGATGGTATCATCCACAAATTGTAAGTGGGATATGCCTAGGTCCCCATTACCTACTCGAATTGCTTTTAAGATCCCAATCTCCTCAGCTTTTCTTATTAGATCCTTAAAGCCTTCGCTAGAATCTAAAATAAAAATGGTGAGAGAGGGTCAGCTTGCCTTAGTCCTCTTCCCACTTTAAATTCTTCTGTTGGGCTACCATTAATGAGCATTGAAATTGTTGTTGTTGACAAACATTCTTTTATCCAGCCTCTCCATCCTGAGTAGAATCCCATTTTGTCCAATATAAAGTCTAGGAATTGCCTATTCACATTATTGTATGCCTTTTCAAAATCAACCTCGAAGATTAGTCCTGCCTTTTTTCTCCTCTTCATATCATATATCACTTCATTTAAAATAATAATTCAACTTGTTATCTACCTAGTCCCCACAAATGTTGATTGGTTTCCGGTGATTATGCTGTTCATCACCTTCCGCAATCTATTTGCCAAACGCTTTGAAATGATTTTATACATGCACCCAATCAAAGAGATAGGGCAATAATCATTCATACCTTGTGGATTTGACTTCTTGGGAATTAATACAGTGATTTTTTTGGTACAACTAATAAAAATAGAACAAAACTCTAATATCTAGGGAGAAGAACTCCCATAGCATCCTTCATCAAGGTGGGCAATAAACCAAAAGGTGGGGTATCAATTATAGTGGTCGCTTGCTGAGCTAAATGTCTAAGTTCAACAATGCATATTGGGCCACTAAGTTCCCTTCTCTTAATGTGTGTAGGAGCACACAAGAGAAAAAGGGATTCATGAGAGCCCCGTAGTCCAAAGTATGGGTGGAGAGTGTAGAGTCAATAGAGTTGATCTTGTAAGAGGTGAACTGCTGTTGCCGAACCCATCTCTGCTACGTACCAAATTCATAATGCCCATAATGAGGCTGAGTTGCAGACCCCCTCTGAGTCCCCAAAGTTTTTCTGTGAGGACAATGGCTCCTCCAATGACTATAAGCCAACAACCAACCCCACCAACCACACCCCCACCCCACCACCCTCCCCTCACCCCCCGGCACTGGCATGTTGTCTTGGTGCGGGAATCCGTTGACGACCTTCAGCTTCAAGCATTCTAGAGGTGGGGGTGACCATTTGAATCCAACGGATTTGGTTTGTAGTCCTCGATATGTTGAGTTGAAGACACTACTAAAATCCTTAGTTTCAGCAACATGGAAGCATGTTGCTGAAAGTGGTTCCCATGTTGCTGAAAGTCCTTCAGCAACATGGGTTTGCTTGCTAAAAGCTTTGTTGGAGAAGGCTTGGTCGGTAATACATTACCAACCAAAATCATGTTGCTAATATATCAGCAACATAAGCTATGTTGCTGAAAAAAAAGTATCAGCAACATAGCTTATGTTGCTGAAAATTTTCATCGGAATCTGGTGACTGGTGGAGGAGAAATTTCTCACCCCCTTCAGCAACATAGGCCATGTTGCTAAAGATGGAGTTTCAGCAACGTGGCTCATGTTGCTAAAAATGAGTGGTAAACCGGTGAAAAAAAATGGAAATCCGGCATTATAATTCAGCCTCATTTTCAGCAACACAAGTCACTTGTTGCTGATAGTTTTTTGAATTTTCAGCAACATGATTCTTGTTGCTGATAATCTAATGAATAGTTAGCCCATGTACTTTCAGCAACAAGACTCTTGTTGCT